ACTCTGAGGACAATCCAGGAGGCTCCCACCTACAGGATAAGTTTCAAGTTATCAGGGCTGGTATTTAGGGCCTGCAGCAGCCTCTTTCCTTGCCTCTCTCTTCCTTGAACCCTGGGTTCCAGCCCCATCTTACAACTTTGATACACTCAAACACTTTTTGTATTCTCTCCCTCACCCTCCTAGATCTGACAAACTTGTACTGATCATTTGTGGGCCAGTCTAAAGGTCTTTTATTTGAAGCCATCTGTAACTCACTCTTCTGTACATGGTAGTTGAAAGGCCTGGGAGTCAAATGTACGTAGCAATCTAAGCTCTGCCCCTTACTGACCATGTGACCTTAGGAAAGTCCTTGATGTCTCTGGGTTTCAGTCTCATTATCTAGAGAATGAGGATAAAAGCAGTGTCTCTTAGGACTGTGAGATGTAAATGGAGACCTTAGCACCATAGGGAGGCAAAACTTTACCTTTGTCCTCTTAGGGTCTCTGGCTGGGCCTGAGAACTAAATTGACAGAGGATAGATTCATAGGAGAGAGGTATACAGATGACCCTTGTGTAACATGGGTCTACTTATATATGGATTTTTCCCCATAAATATTGTAAATGTATTTTCCTTATGGTTTTCTTTTTTTAATTTTTTAAAAATATGTATTTTTATTGATTTCAGAGAGGAAGGGAGAGGGAGAGAGAGATAGAAATATCAATGATTAGAGAGAATCATTTATCAGCTGCCTCCTGCTTGCCCCCTACTGGGGATTGAGCCCGCAACCCTGGGGCATGTGCCCTTTACCGGAATCGAACCTGAAACCCTTCAGTCCGCAGGCCGACACTCTATTCACTGAGCCAAACCAGCTAGGGCCCTTATGATTTTCTTAATAACATTTTAAGGGAGGAGCCTGCAACCAAGGTACATAATAGCTTATTTTATTGTAAGAAGACAATATATAATACATATAATATACAAACATGTGTTAATCAACTGTTTATGTTATTGGTAGGTTTCTGGTCAATAGTATGCTATTAATAGTTAAGTTTGGGGGGAGTCAAAAGTTATACACAGATTTTGAAAAAATTATGTTTTTATTGATTTCAGAGAGGAAGGGAGAGGGAGAGAGATAGAAACATCACTGATGAGAATCCTCAATTGGCTGCCTCCTGCACGCCCCCTACTGGGGATCAAGATAGCAACCCAGGCATGTGCCCCTACAGCAGTGGTCGGCAAACTCATTAGTCAACAGAGCCAAATGTCAACAGTACAACGATTGAAATTCCTTTTGAGAGCCAAATTTTTTAAACTTATACTATATAGGTAGGTACATTGTTATTAACCTAATTAGGGTACTCCTAAGCTGGCCTTTCCTAAAAACGTCCTCAATCTGAGGGGTCAACCTCAGCGAACGTACCCCCACTTCTTCTAACGCCACTTCTTCAAAACTCGCCCAGGCCGAAAACCGACTTCTGCGCATGGGCCATGAAGTTTCAATTGCACTGTACGTGTGCGCCCGCATGTGGTATTTTGTGGAAGAGCCACACTCAAGGGGCCAAAGAGCCGCATGTGGCTCGCGAGCACGGTTTGCCAACCACTGCCCTACAGGAATGGAACTGTGACCTCCTGGTTCATAGGTCGGTGTTCAACCACTGAGCTACACCCACTGGGCTATACACAGATTTTTGACTGTGTGGTGCAGTCAGTGCCACATTGTTCAGGGTCAACTGTATAGATTTTTACCTGTACATGGGAGCCCCCACAGGAAAATGAAGACCCAGAGAAATGGCCAGGGTCGGTTGAATGAAGAAAGGCTACTGTAGAAAAGTAACTCATATATGTGGAGATTAAAGATAAGAGTTTGTTTTTTTAAATATGTTTTTATTGTTTTCAGAGAAGAAGGGAGAGCGGGAGAGAGAGAGAAACATCAATGATGAGAGAGAATCATTGATCAACTGCCTCCTGCACTCCCCACACTGGAGAATTAGCCCAAAACTCAGGCATTTGCTCTGACTGGGAGTTGAACCTTGATCTCCTGGTTCATAAGTCAACACTCAACCACTGAGCCACGTTGGCCAGGCCAAAAGATATTTGACTTCCTTACTAAGTAAATCACAGATGTTCATATTTTGGCAGTGGTTACCAGATTATTATAATCTTTACTTTTTTTGTGTGTGTGTGGGGTGGGGTGGGGGGGTTGTTAATCCTCACCAGAAGATATTTTTCCATTGATCTTTTTAGAGAAAACGGAAAAGAGAGGGAAAGACAGAAGCATTAATACGAGAGAAACACATTGATTGGTTGCCTCCTGTACGAGCCCTGACCAGGGCCCAGGCAGGGGAGGAGCCTGCAAACAAGGTACATACCCTTGACCAGAGTCAAACCCGGGACACTAGTTCACTCTATCCATTGAGCCAGACCAGCTAGAGGTATTGTAATCTTTTGATGGTGTCATGTTCCTTGATTTTTTTTTTTTATGTTCCTTGAAGTCTTATGTTGCTGTCTTCACATTTGAAGTAGCAGTCACCTCTTCCAGGCTTTACTCTTCGCCTTTGGGAGAAAATTACCTTCCATCAGCCCTCCTAGGGGTTCTGAGGCTCTCTCAGAACTTCTATGGCAGCGGTTCTCAACCTGTGGGTCGCGACCCCTTTGGGGGTCGAACGACCCTTTCACAGGGATCGCCTAAGACCATCAGAAAACACATATATAATTACATATTGTTTTTGTGATTAATCACTATGCTTTAATTATGTTCAATTTGTAACAATGAAATTGGGGGTCACCACAACATGAACTGTATTAAAGGGTCACGGCATTAGGAAGGTTGAGAACCACTGTTCTATGGATATGCCTGCTCCACACTTCTTGCTCCATCTTGTGGCAGAATTCATAAGCTTGTGTGCCTTCTCTCAATCCTGCCATGTCCCAGACCCTGTGCTGATAACCTCCCTTTTGCTTTTCCAAGGGTAAAGCTAAAGCTCAAGTTTGTGGTCTCTCCCTGGCTGGCTGATTTAGGCCAGTTTTCTGTACTAGCTGTCTGCCAAAGCTTTCTCTCACCACCATGAGGAGCACACACACAGATCGAGCCGCAGGATGGGCCGTGAGGAAGTGAAGCACACAGAGCATTGGCAGTGTCTGTGGGCCATTTGGGGGCATCCACAGGCAAAGTATCCCCAGCAGCTTGTGTGCAGGCTTGTTTTGTTGGTTTTTTTTGTTGTTGTTTTTGTTGTGTGTTTTTTTTGGTGTGTGCTCTGGCTCATTGAGTCTTGCAACTCTTTTTAAAAAAATATATATTTTATTGATTTTTACAGAGAGGAAGGGAGAGGGATAGAGAGTTAGAAACATCAATGAGACAAACATTGATCAGCTGCCTCCTGCACACCCCCTACTGGGGATGTGCCCACAACCAAGATATGACCGGAATCGAACCTAGGACCCTTCAGTCCGCAGGCTGACACTCTATCCACTGAGCCAAACCGGTTAGGGCTGTGCAGGCTTCTTCTTCTTCTTCTTCTTCTTTTTTTTTTTTTTTTTTTTTTTTGTGCAGGCTTCTTAATGAAGTTCGTGATATAGTTAGTGGGATCCCTATTCCTCTAATTCCCTCTGAGTGTCTTATCTGCCACTCTCCTGGTCCCTTCCCACCCACCAGTCATGCAGCTCACAACTCAGTACTCTGGATGAAACAAGAAAGAAATGGGCTTCTTTGGCAGAGTCCTGTGCTGCTGGGGAAGCCAGTGCTCACTTACATGCTCTTACTTTATCCCACTGGATAAATCACCAGCTGCCTTGGGTTATAGATGATGCAGGTAAAGTCAAACTGTTCCAAATGCATTTTGTTTTGTTTTTTTGCTCCATTTGCTGGAACTTCTCTGGAAACCTAGACTTCCACAAAGGTTCTTTCATCCATGAGTGATTGCCTAAGACAGTATTCTCCAGAGAGACGCTGACTCCTTCTTTATCATACCCCCTGGATATACACAACTGTCATTTCCTCCCATTTATGTCAAGTGTTGCAAAACAGCTTCAAGCTTCTTCAACCAATTTGCCTACCCAACACTTCCTAAAATTTATACTACAGAAACTTTGGTACTGGTACTGTTGGCAATTAATTTTAAAAATTTTAAACACTGTGCAGGACAAACAAAATATACTGCAGGCCACCAGTCTGCAAACTCTGATTATAGTCTGCTTCTAGTTATATAACTTGTAGTATAAGTATATTCACTTATGAAACAGGAACATCATCGATCGGTTGATTCCTGCACGCCCCACACTGGGGATCGAGCCCGCAACCAGGGCATGTGCTCTGACCAGGAATTGAACTGGCGACCTCTTGGTTCCTGGGTCAACACTCAATCACTGGACCACATGGGCTGGGCAACTTCTGTTGTTTTAAATTACCAACTTTGTGGTAATTTGTTATGATAGCCACAAGAACATACTGTTTTTCTCATTCGTACTGCCAGCTCTATAAAAACAGAGGCAGTGAATTTAACCTGTGTTTGGGGTCTTTCCTCTACCTGTAGAAAAGTAGCTATGGCAGAGAACAGAATGCCAAGAATTGAGTTGAACTGGCCAGGTTTTAGAATGGCCTACCCCTTACTGGCTTTCTTCTCTAAAATGAGACATGTGCCATTGCCTCCATAGTGACTGTGAAGGACCTATGTGGAAATGGATGGGGAGCCCCTTCCACTGTGTGTGTGCAGCTCTCCCATGGCTTTTGTTGCTCTTTTGTGACTTGCTTCCCTACAGAAGTGTTAGAATAAGGTCCCAACCCAGGGGTCCCTCTGAAAAGAGTGGTCATTCTGGGGTTAAGTGGTCATTCTGAGGCAAGTCCTAAATAAGAAATAATAATTTGGAAGGCCTCCTGCACGCTCCACACTGGGGATCGAGCTGGCAACCCAGGCATGTGTCCTGACTGGGAATCGAACCATGACCTACTTTTTATAAAAGGAAACTAACTGTTCATACAGTTAAATATATATATTTTAAATATACATATTTTAAATATACATATATGTATTAATTTTAGAGAGAGATGAAGGGAGAGAAAGAGAAACATTTATTTATTGTTCCACTCGTTTCTGCACTCATTGGTTGAGTCATGTTTGTGCCCTGATCTGGGATGGAACCTGCAACCTTGGGGTATGGACAACTGAGCTACCCAGCCACGGCCAATGAACAGTGATATTTATTGCAGCATTATTTGTAAGAGCAAATAATTAGGGGGAAAGAAACCTTAATCACTTTCATTAGAGGAATGCTTAAAAAGTAAAATACAATCATATTATGAAATACTATTTTTAAGAAGAATGAGATAGACTTCTCAATGATGAGGAAATGTGAACACATTCCCACTAAACCTCCCTCGCTAGGGCCAAATGAAACAAAAAGAATCTCAAATGGGGGGCGGGGGGACCCTCCAACTTCTAATGCAACTTTGTGGAAGCACAATAATAAACGGCTAACTCCGGTGAGCTGCCAAAATACATTGAAATTTGGGTAAAATTCAGGAAGGTCATGAAGGGAAGGGTCCAGACCCCTGCTGATCTCACATTTAGTGCAGACCTCTTCAAAACCGGGCTGTTCTGTCCCAAGAAGCCCTATGGTCCTTTATCCTGCCAGCCATTGGGGCACGGAAGTCATTGGGTCCAGCGAAGAGTCGGGATCCGGCAGCAAAGGCCTCGTGGAGGAGTAAACACTGGTGCTGATGGTAGGAGTCCTGAAACCATACAGACCGGATTTAAGAGTGATAGAGGTTTGGGGGGCAAAAAAGTGGTAAAGGGAGACGTGATTTTTCTTTTCTATTTTGAAAAACACCTGTTGATAAATCTGAGCATTGCTTGTGTCATTTTTTTCAAAGCTGAATTTTTAAATACAGAAGCCAACCCATAACGGCAGATGACATGCCAGGAAAATCAGAGATCCCAGGTACGAATCTTGTGTCTGCTCATAATTCGCTCCGCAACCTCAAACTGCATTAGTCTCATCATCTGTAAAAAGTAGATAATCACCAGTCGCCGGGCCGCGACGGGAGCCCGATGGAGCGAAACTTTCCACTTTGCGACTTCAAGGCCAATTCGGTTCCAGGTAGAAGCCGCGCCCAATCACGTACTGCCGCGCCATAGCCACGAGGCATCTCGGGTTTATAGTCC